AACGTACTCGTATTATTGTCTTGTTGTGTGTGTGTGTGTGTGTGTGTGTGTGTGTGTGTGTGTGTTTCTTCCGCAAAAAAATTAAATTAGCATAACAATAATAGCGTAACAATAAACAGCATAAAATAACTAGAAAGAATCTGATGTTCAAGCGAAACGATGTGATTGGCGCAAGTTACGCTTATGCAAGTTAGGTGACACATAAAAAAACTTAAGCAGTAAGACATTGAACCTCTTTCATCAATATTCGATTAAGTTAACAGACGGTTAACCCGCAGGGATGTCAACTGTAATTCAATGCTGAGAAAGTAGTATGTGTTCTTTAATATTCTCTAATATTCTCTAATATTCTTTTCGTATGTAATTATCTTGGTAGGTAGATGAAATTGTAAGCAATATCCGATAACTAATGTAAATAAAAATTGAACAATCATTTGCTTAAATAAAAATTTTAACACTTATCTATAATAAACAATTTAATTCTCAGTTGTTGGCAATTATGATAGTCAAATTAACCGTTGGTTAGTTTAACTGAAGATTAGTGAAAGAAGTCCTTGAGCAGTAAGATAATATCAACGTTATGGATTTACTACTACTTTATGTTCTCGACTATGATTGGTTAATTCGCTTATTGATTAAAGCTTAGTCTACAATGATATAACAAAGCTATAAGGCTGTAAAGCGTGGTTGTAAGAATCTATTTAAATAAAGTATACAGCACAGTTATACTGTGACGTAAAATTGTTAAGCATTAGAAATGAAAATAATTCATTTAAGTAGATTCTTACAACCATGCCTTACAGCCTTGTGTTATGTCATTGTAGACTAAGCTTAAGTTTTACTGCTAAGTTTTTTTATATGCCACGGCCCTTAGTGTCGGTCCACAATAAGTATTTAATCTTTAAGTCGTAAGAAATTGACCAATCATAGTTGATTATTCTTTTCATATTCGATTATAATTGGTCAATTTCTTACTTCTTAAAGCTTAAATCACCTATTGTGGACTGACACTTATGCTGCATGTAGAGACCCTACAAGAAGAAACTCGCCAACTCGTCACGTGACATTAGTAGACTCTGGGTGCTTTCCAACAACGTACACAGGCGACACTGTGTAACACAGTGTCTACACTGGTGCTTTCCATCATGACATAGAAAGACACAGAACGACATTGCGAAATACAGCTCGATCCTAAGTTTGGCCGTGTCGGACGTTAATAGCGTCAACATATCGAGCAAAATTATTTTTTTAAGTGTGATACTAATATACATTCCGGTCATTATTGTCATTTTTGATGCGTTCTGTTTCTTGCATGATGCGCATAATGCATCATTTATCCTTGTTTAATGTGTGATAAGAATAATAAGTGATAAGAATAAATGATACATCATGCGCATCATGCGAGAAATGGAACGTATCCTTTATTTGCAAAAAAAAATGTCTTCGTCGCGTTCGTAGTACCGAATCCGGAATTCTTAGGTAATCAATATTCAGTTTTTTTTATTTAAAGAACTATATAAGCTTAAAAACATTACGTATTTGTTGATGACCCATTATTAGTACATATTCTTTTGGATTAAGTTTTATTGCAGATATGTTCTTTTGTCAATATTGTAAAGAAATTATTCCTACATTAGATGATGTCAAGCTTGTTTCAAAGGAAAAGAAGTTTTCTTTGAAGGAGAAAAGGAATTATACTCACCTGAAATGAATGAAATTCCATGTAATATCAAATCGAAACGATCGTAGTTATTTTATAAATATAAAATAAAGCGCTTTGTAGGGGATAAAATAATCAATACATATAATTTATTTAAATTTATTTCAGTATGTATCAATAATTCTTCAAAAAGTGCACTAGCAATAATGGATGATAACGAAAAAAATGCGCTCATGTTTATGCGTGATGGTCTTCTCCTACATCTTTTACGCTCTCTAGTGAGCGTGTTTAGTAACTTATGTGTTCCAATTAAATTCTATAACTGTGTCTTACAGTGTCTCTCTGTGTCACACTGTGTAACACTAAATCCTCCTTGTTGGAAAGCACCCTCTGATTGGCTAAGGTATGGATTGCATATCTGTGCTCCATGAAATGAAACAGATGTTTTAATAATCTATTTTGACAGATACATGTTATGTACTGTTAGAGTATTGTGTCATAGTTATACGTTATACGTAAGTTAATTTATCATATCTTTACAATTATGAAAGAAAGCAATATATGTAGCAATAATAATATATACAATATATAAGCAATATATCTACATTTATTAATTTAAAGTTTATTTATAACTACATGTATTGTTTTCTTTCATAATTGTAAAGATATGATAAATAGATATGATAAATTAACTTACGTATAACGTATAACTATGACACAATACTGTAACAGTACATAACATGTATTTGTTAAAATAGATTATTGAAACATTTGTTTCATTTCATGAAGCACAGATGTGCAATCCATATCCCAGCCAATCAAAGTTTATTAATGTCACTTGACGAGTTGGCAAGTCTCTTCATAAGAAGGGTCTCTAGCCGCATGTGATGGCACTACTACGGTCCGATTCACACTCAAAGCACTATTCGGCACTATTCATTCTATCGTTGTTTTACATCTAATGAACAATAAAGAAATAATAGAATGAAAATGCTTTGAGTATGAATCGGACTGCAGCTTATATATAATACTAGACCGTTAAGGGTAAATTCCCATTGAGCGTGTCACGAATTGACCAATCAAAACATTTCATTTTATTGTATTACCGCGCGACTCTGCATGATGCATCGATTAGATTGCTCGACATTCTAGAGACAAAAAAATTCCCAAC